CAAGACTTTCTGTGGAGAAGCTGAACATGCGCACAATGTTTGAGATACATTAATTAAAACGCAACTGACTGAAATTCCAAATAATCATGTTAAAATACTAAGTATGACTTTTTCCAACTAAAACTATTATGGATTCTTTGGCTGGAATTGCCTTCAACAGCCTTGACTAGGGCAAAAGAAAGGTCTGATATTAAATACAAATGATAGAATATCAGACATGCTCATTTCATACTCAACTGGCATTGAACATTATACTTGTCTAAGGTCTGAGACTTAATATAGTAAGGCTTGGACCAATTCCAGAAAGAAACAGCTAGTCAGTTATAGTCTTGAGGACTGATCCGATTTGAAGTATCAGGGTAAGGTACACATTTTCTATGCTGTTAGGGAGTTAGGGGCTGATTTAAGAACTGGTTCAGTAGCCACTTGCTTCTCTTCTAGATGAGGGAATTGCTTGCAAAAGAAGAACTGCTAAAAAGTGTATAGACATTGGATTTCTTAACTTTAGCACTCATGCACAAAAAACTATTAACCTGGTATTATGCTTCTAGGGTTAACTGTCATGGTCAAAAACCCTTCACGTAGCACAAATACACGTGGTGTTATGTTCACTAAGCTTCTGCAGGCACTGATCCAATACCAGAGATCAAAACTTTCTTATCCCTTGCTTAGGACCAGCAGTTGAGAAGACACTGCGTCCTAGGATTTTATGTAACTCGGTATAGAAATGCCCTTGGCAGATTATAACTGCTGTGCCTGGAAACTGGAAATTATTTGACCCTCTCAATGATGGAGTCGGTCTCAAATGTGACTGGCAAAAAAGGCCCTTCTTGCAGCCCAGAAGTAACTCTTGAATGTAACTATACCCCTCTTAAATGAACTACCAGGTCACTAGTTCTAATCTAACTGAACGTTATGGATGTACACTGTTAGCAAATCCCATTACTGCTGCCACCCTAGTCCACACGTGCTCACTGGGGGGGGTGGGGAAAAAAGTGTTCCTGCTTTTCTCCATACAACCTAATGGATTCAAGATTTGGGACAATTCCTAGAGCTGTGGTTTAACATAGTGGGGAGAGGGAAGGGGACCTTATTTCCTCTGCCTGTAGAGTTGGGCATCTAGCCACAAAGGATCTTGTGCTTTCAGGGTTTCCCTTTACATCTTTCCAGATGACTATTGAAGCAGGTGAAGTGAGGTAAATAACTGCAGTCTAGCCTTGCTTACTTGCAGGATAAAAGGAGATGGATGGACCACACGCACTGGATTCACCTGCCTCATGGCAGGTCTTTGCCTTTTAGAGTAGCATGGCTGTTTCTCTGCCCAGGTCTCACTTACCCTTCACTGGTGTTTTGGATGTACAGTGGGAAGTGAAGCCACAGCCTGCTTCAGGCTCCTGCAGTTCTGCTGTGCTGCAGCCTGTAGGAGTAAAGGACTTGCTATACATTTAGACAAAAAATCATGCAGACAAAAATCATGTCAACTTGAAGACTGGAGGCTAGCTGCGATGCAGGTGAATCTGCTGCAGCTGGTGTATCTGTTTCCTTTTACCCCACAGTAAGCAAAGCTAAACCAGAGTGACTTGCCTCCTGTTAAGTTTACATTGATCTTTAGGTGTTGGGAGTCAGCTGACAGGCACTTTCAGTTTTTAAATCTTGGTGTACATAGATCAAGCATAACACCCAAACTGAAGATGTGAAAGAATTGTGTTCCTGTGTGGGTTTGTTTGGGCGTGCACCACAGCGGCATTGTGTATCCCTGTACAAACATAAGAAAACAGAAATGGAGCTGCTTATGTTAAGACCTCTATATAATGTGTTCTGTGAGTGCTAGCTGTGGAATTGCCCCTGAGACTGCTATTTTTTAGCATTTAAAAGGAGCTGTGTTGCTTTTAGATTCACTGGCCTGTCAGATGCTGAGCTCAGTAATACACCTTAGGATGGTAGAGAGCTTCAGATGTAGGGAGTACATTTTGGGTTGTGCCATTCATGCAGACTGGAGTTTTGGATGGCTGCAGGGCAGTAGTTTTGCACCATTCCTGCATATTCCCCAAGAGTTTGCAACACATGGTGCAGCTTTTATGTACAGAAGATGGAGTTGTGGTTAGTCCGTTACCTTTACCCAAGATGTAAAGTACAAATAAAATGGTGAAATAAACTTGGTCTGTAGAGTTTTTTTCATTGTCGAGAATGCTTTTTAACTTTCGTTATACATGCAACTACTTAGACTCAGCCCTGATACAACCCTTTAATTTGACTGCCATAATCCAGGTCTGCTAGGGAGCCATTAAAACTTTAGCCAGAAAGAAATGCTAAACTTCATAGTTCATTGCTATTTTTTCCCTGGCCTGTAACTAATATTCACTTGATGAAGGGTGATTCTTTGTTACACAAGTGTTGTGAAATCTAACTTACATATTATTACAACTTTATTTTGAGAGCAGCATAAGACCTCTTAAATTAGTCTCTCTTTTGAAGTATTACGATTACCAATATATCTAGTGTCTTCCACCATCAAAGTATAACACTGGGGAAAGAGGGAGAGTGAATCTTTCTTGGAAAACTAAGGACTGTGGAAAGACCTCTTCAATAAGCGAGTTCCGGGGCTGTACCTTAGTAAGAAACTTTTGTATATATGCTTTCTGTTAATGGAATAATCTGTTAGGAATTCCTGTGGCCACCCTCACAGACATGCCCCTTATCTATTGCCTGCCTATGGTAGGTGTTGGACAGATCTGAAGCTTGTCTCTCCATGTTCCTAGCTATAGGAAGGGTAGGAATGTCTCTTCTTCCCCAACCCAGAACCTCTGCAGCAGTAATGGGAGCAGGTTTCTGCCATGCTGCTGTAACATGTCACACTTTAGGTATTCCTTCCTTGTGAGCATTCTTCCATGTCTCTCTCCCCTTTTGAGCAGCAGTAGCACGAAATTAATGGTGTTGATGCACCCCTGTTTGCCATCTTCTGAACAGCAGCAGTGAAAGCGGCTAGTTTAATCTGTTTTTCTTGATGTTTGTTTGGCAAAACTATGAACAGCAACTGAGAGGATAGATTTTTGTCTACAAAGTGGAACAGCATTGCATTTGTTTTTTCTTGGTTGACATTTGGAAAGGTAAGCTAACAACAGCGAGGACTTAGACACTACTTCAAAAGACAGTTATTCTGCAGAGGTCTGTGCTTATTTATTTGCATTCTGATGGCATCTGAAGGCCTTCCCTTGCGCTGTCTGGGAAAGCTTCCCATCTGCCATTGGCAAGTGGAGGATTTTTAAGTATGAGCTTGGGCAGTGCTGACTTTAATGTTGAGCTTTTATGCATTTTTTTCACATGGATCTTTCAGCATGTGTCAGTTAATCTTTTAAAATTTCTTTTGGCTAAGAGAATATTTTTTTTTCCAAAGGCTCTTCAATATAGATGTTTCCATGCCTTGCTAGTTTGGACACTTAACTTCAGTCAGAAAAGCAGTAACCCCTAAGAATTTCTTTTTCTAGTTGAAGTAAAATGCCAGTTGCATTTTTAACTGGTATAACAATACCAGCATTCTTTCCCCTGCCGCTTAGATCATCTCAACATCCTTTAAAAAGGAGGCAGGTATCATTGTCTTCATTTTACAAATGGGTAAACTGAGGCCCAGAGAGAGACAATTTGCCTAAGGGTACATTGCAGGCTAGTGCACAACCAGATTTCTGGAGTTTACACAACCCAGATTTCTGGAGTTCCAGGATAGTATTTTATGTGCTAGGCCACAGTACCTACCTCATCACTTATGTGTGGTCTTCCTACTACAATGGCTATAGAGCTCATTGCAGATACGATTGGCTGAAATAACTAGGATCTTCATTCAAACTTATCTTTGCAGTAAGTAGGTCAGTACATTCCAGGTCTGAATATCTCTTATACAATTAAATGGATAATTACTAGCACATATTTTGCACTTTTTAAATACTCTAGGCTTGCATGATTGATGTTTGCTGGTCTCTAGTGAGCTGTCACTGCTTAAGGGTTACATTTGTTAATGTTCCAGAGGAGGTAAGAATTAAATACCAGTTATTTTGTAAGTTGTCACAAATTAAATCTTAAATGTTCCATTATTTGCAGCTAAAAGGCCTTGGATTTGATGTTCCCTCACTTAGCTTTCTGCACCTAGTTCCAAAAAGATGAGCTATGTGATTTATTATATCTAAGAAACACTAAGAGCAGTGTGCGCCCATTCAACAACTACAGTCTGTTGACTTCTTCACTGTTAACTAGTTATGCCTGGAAGGCCAGCATGTAATATGACTTTCTCACAGGCAGACAGAACATCCTCCCATGGGTATCTGTCAAAGTACAAAAAAGTGGTGTTGTCTTCAAAACAGATAACTTTCAATAACTGCTTCTTTCCATCTGCTTTTGTAGCAAACTGCTTCCCCTGCCCCTCTCCCCTTCCCAGTTTGGATTTTCATGCTCACATGGCTCCTTTATTTCTGTAGTTTTCCATTTAGCTTTGAATAATCATTCCCCATCTTGGAGGAGACCTGTTTTTAAATTTGGAATCAGCTCACCAATTCTGACTGCTGCTTTAGGATTTTTTTTTTTTTGTTGTTCTCCAAGTTCTTTGGATGCTGTCTCTACCAATATTTGAGGTGATGTGGGTTTGTCAGCAAATGTGGGGCTTTTAACAGCCTTTACCCCCAGATAAAATAGAAGAATGTGTTTTGATGGGGAGAGAAGCTTGCTGATCACTTCTGTTTCTGCTGCCACTTGGTGTTTAAATATGCATTTCCTTGAAAAGGTTCCTATTACTTGTTCTGCTTCAGAACAAGATAGCATGGTGATACCTTTCCCCGGTTAGGAGAGTTCTGGACCTTGCTTAGCAATGCAGGTTTATCCTGCTTGTGCTGTATTGTCTATCTGCTCTCTGGTGATTGTAACATTATAGTTTCTACAGGTACCCACTTGCTCTCCTGTATTCCTGCCAGTTGAGCAAATGAAGCTTAATGGAGTCGTGCAAAAGAGGAGGGGGGTGGAGACTAATGCAAGGGAACGTGTTCTTCGCTGCTTGTTTGCATTTTCTTGCATTCGCTCTTATTTGAGTGGAGGCATGCGGAAGTGTCCTGGTTTGCAGGATTATTTGTTCATTTTGTGTCTGTTCTTTTCTGGCTTGTTGGATCTATGGAGTAGCATGCATTAGAAGCACTAGTCATTGACAAACGGCTTGTTGTCTTGAGCACGTAACTAAGCAACCTGGAAAATTTTCAGCTGGATGAATATTTATAAGTTATAGAGTGGAACATACATTTCTGTAGTCTGTCACGTGCAAACTTTTCTAGGGAAATATTCATCCGTGGGGAAAAAAGACAACTTACAAACCATTTAAGGAGCTGGTTGATGACTAACACAGTCAAGAATTGGCATGTGTGATGAGACTTATGCCTAAACTTGGGGGGTGGGAAATCCTGTTCCAAGGATGCTGAATGTGTGCTACAGCACCTCTTGTATAACTGGAGATGAAGCCGTGGAGATGGATCTAAAAAACATCCACCCTGCTTGAGTGGATTAAAGTGTAGCGGTGCAGTGAGGATCTTTGAGCAAATGAGCTCTTTAGCTATAAAGAGCCAGGTTAAGCTTTCCGGGGTGTGCTTCAGTAATTTGTAGAAATTTGGCAGAGTTGTAATGAAGATATCAAATAAATTATCATTTTCCAATATAATAACAGTCCAAAGAGTGGGATTTAGACTGCTACAGGATTCTTCACTTTGTGATGGCAGTATTACACTGTCCATTAAAGATGTGCAGCACACTGTGGTGATTTGATACTTGATAGATCATCTGCTGTGTGTAAACAACTGCAAACTCTCCCTCTGCCTAGAGAAGGGCGTTTTGTGCCTGAACGCTTGCAAAGAACAATTTTTCCAACTATTTAGTTGGTCTAAGAAAAGATATCGCATTTACCCAAAGAATCTTGCCTGCTGCGTTGACGCTTTCTCCAGTAAGAGGAAGGGGGTGAAGGAGTTGGCAGTTGAAAAGACAAGGCTCTGAAGGTAGGTTGCACTATTTATCTGAAGGTTTGTAGAAACCCATTTCTACCTATCTTAAATCTTAGCATAACAGCAGTCAAAGATAAATTTGCTTCCAGAAGGATGCTTAACCCAGTTATGACATTTATCTCAAAAGGGAGGTCTGGAATCTTGATTTTTGAATTGGCTTTTGGTTGAGCTGAAGTCTTCTGGGATCACAATGACAGATTGAGTGGCTTTAGTGACCAGCTGGCCTCTTTGAACTTCAGCACAGCATTGCTTACACAGGAGATGATGAATTTGGCGGCAGTTGTATGGAATTGGGACTTCAGTTGATTTTATAACCATAGTGTTGAGTATTTGAAAGGCAAGGGCTAATAAGTATAATATTTTTCTGAAGTATTTGCTAAATTAATCAATACTGGCTTATGCTAACATGACACCTGTCTGTTACAGTACAAAGTTGCTAATGAGTTTTGTGAATCTGTCTTAATTTGCTGAATATCAAATTTGCATAAATAATTCTCTAATTTACATAACTGTACTTGGGGAAACTCTTACTAGCACTGACACTGCCAAGTATGAGCATTGTAACAGATGGTGGAATATTCCACCAACCAGGTGAGGACCAGTTGAACACCTCTATTTTAATCTGTTTTAAGAACAAAGCTAAAACTAAAATTGTGGTAGTAGTACACAGTTAAATTAAAGTTAATCATTTGGCATCCTGCTTTTCTCATAAGGCCTTCCCTTTCCTCATTGTAGCCAGGACTAAGAAAGAAGTGTGACAACTGTTATAATTAAGTGATAACTGAGGTGCATGGCTACAACTGCTTTGCACAATACAAATACATTTTTCACAGTTTTTTTTAGTTACCATAATTCTGTGCCCAAGGAATGGGGTAAGGAACCCCTCCTTAATCCTTGGCCCTGTGCAAAATATATACTTGAGAGGGAGGAGGTATACCTCATTCTTGTTGTCTTGGCTCTGGAATATGAACAGATGCTTACTCACAGAAGCAGCAGGTGCAGTTGGAGTAAAAACAGATGACTCTTCAGTGATTAGGTCCTGTTAGAGTTTCCTTTCCATCCCCCAATTCTGGTTAACCAGAGCTGGAAGCATTTATATTTCTCTGCATGTTGCAAGTCAGTTTTGACAGAGGATTTTACCATGAAGAACATAGGATCGGAACGGCTCGGTGCTTAAGTTTTTGTAGTGTTTGCGTGGCAAAACCTATGGAAATCTATATTCAGTATATGTATTGGAACATGTTAGCAGAACTGTGTGGAAGGTAACATCCACGTGACTGAACATAGTGATGAGGATGCGTTCACCTGAATGTGAAAGGAAAAAGATGCTAATTTTGGCAGGGATGACTCAGCCAGCGGTGAGAGTAACATATTTGTATGTCACTCAGCCCAGCAGGGCACTGACTTGGGACAGATTTTTTGGGTGCTAACAGAGCTTACAGTGATAAATCCAAGTGTTCAGTGAAGTGGAGGATACATACCATTTGTATATTTGTTGACTGAAGAGGAGGAGGTAGCTAACCTCCTGAGCCATCAGAAAGGTAAAATTGAGGAAAAAGTTGCCTTGGTTTTGGCTAACACCACGCACACAAGCCATCACAAAAGTGCACATCCAACTTATTTGATGCATGCTTTCTTATACTTTTTTTATTCTTTGGAGTTTAAAGCTACTGTTTGCATACCTGATACGTCCTCTACTATGGTTATAATTTCCTTTTGCATAACTTCCATATGCTTTTTTGTGCACTGGAAATGATCAGTAAACAACTGTCCTACCAAGCCGGTCATCTCCAGAACCAAGGTGATATCAGTGGCTTCTCACATTAGCCAGAGAGTCGAATAACTTACTTTTATTAATATCTTAATGAAAACGTGTCAGATTGAGGCTGCAACTGCTATGAACCCCATCATTATTCATAGTGTGTGTGCGCGTGGTTTTCTTTACCTTTATGTGACTGGCTTCTTTGCAGGTGGCTTTCATGAAACTTGTGGACCAGAAGGTTAAGTACACATTTGAAGTTAACAGCTCTTTAAAGTCAAATATCAATGTTGTTGATTCCTAATCAAGCCGCTGTGAGATCCTTCTAAGTGTGCTGTACATTATTAGCACTAAGGAGTGCAAATACCTACACACAATTCACAAAATAAACTCAAGTGATTTCAAGTGGGAATCCATATAATCACAAACTTTCTGACCTGTTGTCTTTTTCAAAAAGACTCGGAAAGAATGATTCTTATTTTTTTCCGTAGTCAAAATCAAAGTGAAAGCCAAAAGCCAGCATTTTCTGAAGGGTGTCTTGAGCCTACAAAGTTTGCAAACAGCTAATTTAAGCTATTAACCTTTTCTTTCAGGAAATTTCTACTGAATGGGTTTCTGATAGGCCCTAATTGAACGTCACTGAACAACAGCAGCAACCACAAATAAAAGAAACTTTGAGGCTGAGCTTCTTGCCTGCCTCTCTCTAAGAGGCCCAGATGGGGAGGCAAAGATATCCACTCGTATGCATCTCCAATTCTGGAGTTGGGGTGGTTTTTCAATGATATAAAAATGTGCTTTCAAGGGCTGATTTTTCAGAATAAAATTAGTCTCACTCGCGATTTTCCCACTCTCAATATTCCCCTTCATTGACCTAATGTCAGAGGACAGAATAAGTCTTCATGTGTTGGTTACGTGCTTCTTCAGTACTGGAGAAATTCCCTGGGAGGCTCTTCTAACCCTTCTATGTTGGCAGAGGATATCAGAATTTGGCCCTGAAGCTATTTTTAGTGACTCAAACCTTAAATAAAACCATATGGGTCAACGATAAAGCATGGAGCAGTTCTGTAAGGCTTCACATGGTTGGTTTGGGCTAAAGGGGGGAGGTTTGAAGTTCTTGCCTATAGGAGTTGCATGCCGTACTTCTAAAAACCTTGCATTTTGTTTGGGAGGGTGCTAGGTGGGAGAAGGGATTACGGTGTCAGTAATGCTAGAAAAGCGTCTTTCAAACATCTCTTCTGCTCCTTACCGTGTCTTTTGGATAACATCTGCTTGGCTTACTGCAGGCTTTTTGCTGGATTTTTGTGCCTGTCAGCACTGCTGAGCCGGTGTAGTCGCAGCAGAGCCAACTGTCATATTCTGCCTTGCATCAACAACAAAACTGTCAACTAAGCTCCAGTCCTACTCCATGTCTCTCTAATGGATGGTGATATGAAGCAGAAAGGACCCTGCTTTGTTTCCACGTCAGCTAGTATCAGATAGGACTCTAAGTATAGGTAGCAAGAACGTTTTTCAACTTTGTTTGGTTTTTTTTTAATGAATAACTGAAAGGAAGCCTGTATGGGGAGGAGTGCCTTCTTTGTTAGATATGAGAAGTTAAGGTATTTCATGGCTCGTGCAGGAGAGAGTTCCTTAATACATGTTAATCTCCTAGGCTCAGTAAAATATAGTTGGTCCTAGCATACAGTGTAATACATTTGATTTACCTTGTGGATTTAGGTGACGTGATCAACTAAATGGAGGAGGTAAGTGGGGAAATCAGTTGCTTACTGAAGTTCATAGTAAGGTAATTACTGCATTATATACAACATTCCTCTCAAATTTGAGAGGTGGCTTAAACTGTCACAGACTAGTATGAGTCCTGTGCTGTTGACTAGAAATAGGTTGTTTTGTACGGACTTTTTCAAAGTGGTCGTAATACAGTAGCATGTGGCTCACTTCAAAGCATCTGACTTCTGAACCTAATTGTGAAGTCAGGTGACATAGAAAATCCTCTTCAAGAACCTTTCTTGTTTGCTACCTGTTCTCTGCTGTGATATTTAGGACGCCTAAGTTCCTTTGTGTTGCAAGGACCCCTTTTCCCACAGAGAGAGAGGAGTGGGGGAGGAGGTGTGATTTGAAAGTAGAGCTCTCTGTTTTGGTTGAATTGATCATTGTGGTGAAACTAGTCATACTAGTGGAATGCAAACATTGACATTGTGCAGTTAACATATGTCTTTTGGTCTTCAGTTTTCAGTTGACCAAAGAAATGGTGATGGAGAAGCCAAGTCCCCTGCTGGTCGGGCGGGAATTTGTGAGGCAGTATTATACTCTACTGAACCAGGCACCGGACTACTTGCACAGGTAAAGCTCTGCTTACATAACTCAATATACTGCTTTTTGTGTTGTGTATTCCTTGTTTTTAATTTACATATAAATGTTAGCAATTCTTGCCTGCTATAAACTGTAAACAAGTGTAGCCCACCTTTTTGGCTAGCTTGATGTAAGGCTTGAATACATGTTTTAATTTCTGCTAAATGGACTCTTACCATCAAATATATTCATTCCCAGTAGCAAGAGCCAGAAGTCTCCCTAAACCTAGTAGCCTGTAAGGTGCACAGGCAGCGATACGGCTAGCCTCTTCCCATCTTTGAATCCTTAGTTAAGAGCCGGGACAGCTAGAGACAGCATCTGAAGCTGTAGCAAGATGCTTTAACCCCTGTGTCACTGCTCCCTTCCAAGCTGTGACTGACTAGACAGATGATGAAAAGCAAAGATGATGAGTGTAGACCCTGTTTGTCAAAGGTATCTGAAATAACTACTGTTCCTGCTTGTAATTTAATTCTAGTTTGTATTCAATTACAACTTGCTAAAAATACCCTGTAAAAAGTTTGATTTACCATTTCCAACATAATAAATTCAGAAGTTTAAGAATCTGTACAAATGTACATTTTGCTATATAGTGGCTTAGCTAAATGTATATAAATATGAGTTATTCTATTTAGCCAAAAGTCTGCTATTTAGCATAAAGGACACTAGAATGAAAATCAACATGTTTTAGTGGCTATACCTACCAATAAATATGGACCTTTCTAAAGAAAATAACTGGATATAAATGCATATTGTTAAGTACCAATAATTAACCACATAACTAGTTACCTGTTGCTTTTTTAAACCATGATTTAAGGTCAGTGACTTTGATTTAACTCTTTTTAGGACTATCGGTGGAGGCAAAATCATTCTGAATTTAAATCCCATCGTTATAATATACCTTGGTAGACTGACTTGTTTTGGGGCTGTCATGCTTTCTTTATCTTGCCTAGATATGTACTTCTAGATTCTTGAAGCCCATCTTCAAGTTAAAAACTTAACTGGTCTGAGGTAAAGACTTTCCAGAGTTGTTCCCAAGTGTGGCAAGCAGTTGAGTCTCTGGTTAATCCAGACAAACAGTCTGTTGGATCAGTTACGAGTTTCTGTTCGCAGTTTTGTACCTGCTGCCAGCATTTCTGGCTAGGAGTGAAAAAAGCTATAAAATGGAAGGATGACTCATAGTATACGTGTTACTATAGTTTTTGTTTCTAGGTACATAAAACTACATATCTTTGGTTCTGACTAAAATTTATAATGACTGTCAAGTAATCTTGTTGTATACCTACTACCTAGATGACTGGGACAAGAGAGTGAGTTAGCTGTGTTGGTCTGAAGTTGGCAGAAGGTAAGGTAGACTTGCACTTTATAGGCTGAATCAGAGATATCAGACAGCATCTGATGAAATGAACTTGGCTCATGGAAGTTTATGGGGGGTGTTGGGGTGTGGGTAAAGAAATGTGTGATATATAACTAATCTGATTTGGCTTATAACATGCAAATCTTCCCTGCCTTCTGTGATGCAGAGAATCAGGAGGACCGTCAGAATCCCAAGCAGTCCATGCTGCTGGAAAAGCAGGCGTATTAAGAGTGTTGTCTTTCTCTGTCTCCACTTCCTATATCGGTTTCTTTGACAAGTATCCAACATCACAATAACCACCCTGTCTAGCCTTCTGGAAGATGGAACTCTTCTTCCTCTTTTTGTTCTTGATGATTATAACAGCAAGCACAAGGGTTTCTTTACTACTCTGAAAATTTAACTGAATCTCACTAGTGCACCTTTTAATACCATTTAGTTTAAGGATAGTATTTATAGTATAATGCTGTTTTCAGACCTGTAGTTGTTGCATTAAGAATACTGAACCAAAGCTTAATTTATAAATTCCTCCTCAACAGGTTTTATGGAAAGAATTCTTCCTATGTCCATGGTGGCTTGGATTCCAATGGAAAGCCAGCTGATGCGGTCTATGGGCAGTCGGTAAGCACTTGTAAAAGTGAACAAAGTAGTGTCATGTGACTGAATTTAAGCACTGGAATTACAGCTTTTTTTTTTGGATCCCTTTGTTTTAAGGGATGATTGTGTGTCTGAAGCAGATCTAGGTGGTGAATCAGTTGATATAGTTATAGACTTCAAAGTATACTTTCTGTTACCTAAACCTTTTGATTTTACCCTATAGAAGCAGTTTATGCCAACTTAAATCCAGTTTGAAGTGGGTCATTGACTCCTAACTTGGATCTTGCAGGACATCCACAAGAAGGTGCTGTCACTGAACTTCAAGGATTGCCACACGAAGATCCGTCATGTGGATGCCCATGCAACTCTCAATGATGGTGTTGTGGTGCAGGTGATGGGAGAGCTCTCCAATAACATGCAGCCAGTGCGCAGGTTCATGCAGACATTTGTGCTTGCGCCAGAGGTATGCTTTCGTCTTGTAATGAACATTGACGTGAAAGTAGGTTTGCTATTTGGCTTGGCATTAGGAATTCAGAGTTCAAATTTGGGCTCCGTGCCAAGAAACACTTCCATAAAAGACATTCTGGAAACTCTTAATTCCATGTTTCTGTTAACCATGAGAATATTGTAAGGGCATGTCATGTCTTGAGTTGGGACTAGTAGGTGGCATTATTACAACTTTGCCTATATATTCTGAAAGTGTTACTTTTATCTTTCCGTAACCGTGACTTGCTCTTTTAGCAGCTGGTGCCACAGACTGAGAAGATTACAGTCTCATTTGAAAACTTGGGTTTCAAGGTTTCTGATGCTATCGTCGACTTCTCACTGAACTACATTTTCAAAATAGTTTTTTTCGAACAGAATAATTCATGTAGTAATTGAAAATGTCAGTGAAGACAAATTGATGGTTGTCATAGTTTCATAGTAGTTAGAGGTCAGAAGGGACCTAAATAGATCATCTAGTCTGACACCCCCCCCCGGCACTGGCCGGAGCACACGGTGGGATCACACGACCCCAGACAGGTGTTCATCCAATCTCTTTTTGAATTTACCCAAGGTAGGAGTGAGGACCACTTCCCTAGGAAGCTGGTTATAGATCCTAGCCACCTTAACAGTGAAATAGTGCCTCCTAATCTCTAACCTGAACCTATTCTCCAGCAGCTTTTGGCCATTGTTCCTCGTCACCCCAGGTGCTGCTGGGGGGAATAGGACCCTTCCTATTTGCTGCTGATCTCCCCTAACGAGTTTGTAGGCAGCCACCAAGTCCCCCCTCAGCCTCCGTTTGCTGAGGCTGAACAGGTTCAGGTCCCTTAGCCTCTCCTCATAGGGCCTGCTCTGTTGCCCTCCAACCAAGCAGGTGGCCCTCCTCTGAACCCTCTGAAGGCAATCTCTTGTTAAGATTTAATTTGGCCTTATTGGTTCTGTCAATCATAAAGAAACAAGATGTGGCTGCCTTCTTCCTTGGACTGAATAGCCTTTTTCCTTTTTGCTTCAGGAGTCATGTTTAAATCTTTCTAACTTTGGGATTTGTATTGTCCTTCATTGTTTTTCTCTAAAGTTTTTTTTTTTTTGGGGGGGGGGGGGTGGGCAGTGGTCATATGATGCTCCTGTCTCCCACAAATATCCTGCATCTGTATTATGATGAGGTGGTGGTGAGGATTGCAACAGAGGTCTTGGCAGGCTTGTCAAACCTTTTATATGATAAAAGAACATTGGGAAAGTGTCAGTAAGCAAAGCAGAAAATTCAAGTATTGTGCGAGTTGGATATTTATATGTTGAAGAGATTTCCCCCAAAGCTAGCCAGCATTGTAGGCCAGATCTTTAGTTGACTAAACTGTTTGATGCAGGGTGTGGAGTTAAGGGCACAGTGGTTCAAAGTAACCTGTATACTCCCTTAGTCCTCTCCTTTAGTGGAGCCTCACTGTAACTTCTAGCAGCCTCAACAGTAGGTCTGCTCTAAGTCGGTCACTTCCCATGGTTCCCCAGGGAGTACTTTGGAGTGCAGGGAACTAATAGCTTTTGTGCTTTTCTTTGAGAAATACTCCTGATCCTTGGCTGGAGAAGCTGCTATACTGGTTCTGTGTCCTTCAAGGATTTTGTGTTGTCAGGGCAGAGGAAATGGGCAGTTTTCTGTTCCCATTGCCCTGTTGGAGTGCCACAGAGGGAGTGGAGCGCGGTCCAAACCTACCACTACCTGTAAATGCTTTGTGATCATTTAATCTCTCTTTATTCTAGGAGTAAAATGCACTTGAACCAACTTTTTACCTCTGTTTGCCTACAGGGTTCTGTTGCAAATAAGTTTTATGTCCATAACGACATCTTCCGCTACCAGGATGAGGTCTTTGGTGATTCAGACACTGAGCCACCTGAGGGTAAGTTCCAGAAGCTTGGAAACGTCTATTGATGGCTGTTTCTGTGGCATTAGACGGTTTGTTGATTCCAACACTTGATACCCAGACCAGAGGGAATTCTTTCTATTTAGAGCAGATGTGCCACATGTTCGTTGTTCTTCTGTTTGTTTTTGTTCTTTTCATACTGTCAGTGTTTAGCAGGCCCTTGCTGAAACACATGCCGTTATACTTTTTTGCAGTATGGTCCTCCTTTTTCCTGTCTGTGGTCATACAAAGTTCTGAGTGCTACAAGGCATTTCGGGGATATTTAATGCTATACTGTGGAGCCTATAGGCAGCAAATCTGCTTTGTCTAAATATTTGAAAAAAAAGGCCCTCATAACCAAAGCTTTAAATAGTTAAAATAGGCATTACTTACTTTTGCTGTAGTTTGGTATAACCTAAGTGCAAGCACCTGATATCTACAACTGGGCCAGCATGTTGATACTGAGTGTGTTTTGTTTTGTTTTGTTTTTTTCTTTCCTAACCCCAGAATCTGAGGAGGAGGTGGAGGAACCTGAGGAAAGGCAGCAGACACCAGAAGCAGTTCCCGATGACACTGGGGCTTACTATGAGCAGGCTGTCAGGTAATTAGCTCAAACTTGGAAGTTGGACATTGTATAGTGTGGTCTGGTCAAGGGGAATGCTTCCATTTCCGATTTCTTCAGGAAAGCTCAAGCATAAAGGATATTGAAATTACAGGCTCTTGGCTCTGAGGCTAAGAAATTAGGTTTTCAGCTGGTATACTTTTCTGTTATGAAGCATAACATGTAATCCTGTTGAATGTGTTAACTCCCTCCCTCCTCCCCTTAGGTGAAACATACCCATGGGTTGTCCCTGTAGTTCATCTTGAATGTAGTGGACTTTCTCTGCTTGGGTTAAGATCTCACCTTCAGTACTTCCCATTTGCAGAAATAAAATGTTACTATTCATGGTGTTTCTGATAGCAATGACTTGGAAGAACAGCTGGAAGAGCCAGTAGCAGAACCAGAGCCTGAGCCCGAGCCTGAGCCTGAACAGGAGCCTGAAGCAGAAGTTCAGGAAGAAAAGTCTGAGCCGGTACTGGAGGAAGCAGCTCCTGAAGAAACTGTGCAGAAGAGTCCTTCTCCAGTTCCTGCAGACCCAGCTCCTGCAGTGCAAGAGGACTCCAGGGTAATGCAAATGGCTGGCTCCCACTGTGTTGTTTTTTCATAGGTTCACCTTTTTCTTTCTTGTCCACATAGTATTTTTGCCTTGGCAAGATGGGGGATCTACTCTTACAGTAGTTCTCTCCTGACCCTTAACCAGATATTTTACATGTTACATTTCTTCCCAGAAAATATGATTGGACAGCTAATTGTTGCTGATATCAGAGTGACGGTGCATTTTCCCCTGCTGAAGTCTTCTGTATTTACGTAACAAATCCTGCAGCTATAGAATAGGCTTTTTTTAAAATCAAGCACTCTAGGATAGTGAAGAAAACCTTCTTTGTGCGGGCAGAGTATAACCAATGCATTCAGAAGTCCGCAACAGTGGCCCTGGGGCATTGCTGCTTCCCAACTTTTTTTTCCGACTTCTGCAGGGTTAAGGGGCTGGAGATGACCTCTTCTTGCAATGACTGCTTTAAAGCTCCTGTTACCACCCCTTGACTTGGGCTGTTTGTGTCCCTGAAAAGGATTTGAACATGGATTCGCTCAGTGGTTTATTAACACTGTTTTTCTTTTGTGTCCCCCTTGTCTCCCCAGACATTTTCATGGGCATCTGTAACTAGTAAGAACCTCCCTCCCAGCGGAGCTGTTGCAGTGTCAGGAATACCACCTCATGTTGTAAAAGTACCAGCGTCACAGGTAGGAATCTTGCATTAATCACAAGCTCTGTGTGATACTATTGGAGTCACTTGAGGAAAAAGCTTCTACAACAAATTCCTTGTTTGTGGTGTGACTTTCTGAATGTATTAGTGTCATCTTGTAAATATTAATCTCCGTTTAACAACAGTCACATTCTTAACTCTTCTGGCTGAGAGGAAAACCTTCCACAAGCATACCATGTGTCTGATCTGTATTAAGCAAAGATTGAATGAGGACGAGGTTCTGTAGAATCTCCCAAGTTCTAGTGAGCTGGGCTGTGGTGGAAGGGTTTGTCCAGCCTTGTCCAAAATATCCTTCGGGGGTTAACAGGAAGATTAAGCATAACATCTGTGATTAACCCAGAATAAACTCTTTTGAATGACGGATGATTTGAATTCTAACACTAACCAGCAAAAGCAAAAGAGCAAGCTGTGTTTTGTACTTATAAGTATAAATTGGGCTCAAGTCTTTGTTAGAGCCACTGATGAAAAGCTTGATCATGTTGTCATCTGTGAATTAAAGATGATGACTTCTGTGAAACTTGATTTCAAACTCCAGAAAGTTCACCTTACTGCTGCTACTGGTCTTGTTTGTGAGCCATCACTTACTTTCTGCTTGAATTTCTGCAGCCTCGCCCTGAGTCCAAGCCTGAATCTCAAACTCCACCACAGAGGCCTCAGAGGGATCAGAGGGTGAGGGAGCAGCGAACAAGCATCCCACCACAGAGAGGACCCAGACCAAGTAAGAAGAATGTTGCATTTATATTTGTACCTTGCTTTCTAATGTTGTGGTGGACCCAAGAAGAATTGATATAGAAGAGGATGAATACTGCTGTTTGTTCAGTTCTTGGAATATCAGTCATTAAAGTCATGTCATTCCTGCTGCTCTGCGTATTTGAACTGACTTTGGCCAGATCTTCTAGGCTTTGGAATTGAACTCAACTCTCACTTTGAAATACTATGCTTTTTCTTTTTCATTTGTAGTAGCTGATTCTGGGCAAGCTGTGGGAGGTTGCTTGAGTACGTTTTCAGCTGAATTTGCTGAATTGGGGTTCTGATAGTTTGTGTAAATTCACAAACTAAACATGAACTTTAGCTCTTTTGAAGTTTACTTATTGCACATGTAACTCTTCTTGTAAATGTGTGGTTATTGTGAAATTTCAGCACCCTGGGGAAATTCGGTTGCAGACCAGTTGTGCTATTTTACCAGAATGGTTCGGCATTTTATGACCAAGGATACTGCTTGGTTTAAGTAAGTGAATGACATTATTATTTTTTTCTTTAGTTCGTGAAGGTGAGCAAGGTGATATGGAAACTAGACGGATTGTGAGGTACCCAGACAGTCACCAGCTTTTTGTTGGGAACCTTCCTCATGATGTGGATAAATCTGAATTGAAGGATTTCTTCCAAAGTAAGTTGCTGCCTTGTGTTGCTTGGCTCATTACGGGGGGTTGGGGCATTTCATCCCAAAGCACATGCCTGTTCCTGCAGAGCATTCTAATGTGTGACCGAAGAACTCGGCTCCTCTCTTGCAGGTTATGGCAATGTTGTAGAACTCCGAATCAACAGCGGCGGAAAGCTCCCGAACTTTGGGTTTGTGGTGTTTGATGACCCTGAACCAGTTCAGAAGATTCTTAGCAACAGGGTAAGTAAGCCTTGGTTTAATGGTGGTGGTGAAGGAGGAAATAGAGCAGTTGAATATGTCCCTTTTTATTAATAGTGGGCAATATTGATCTCGGGGGTAACTGCTAGCTAGTCAGCCTCTTAATTCCCCTTCGTATGTACAAAGGGGTGTTACCCCACTGTGCCATTTGGTGAAGAAGTTGGAAGAATTTAGTGCTAAAACTAACAAAAATGCAGGTAAGGCTGCCAATTACAGGGTGAATGTGGAGTAATATGTAACAGTAAAAGAAATTACCCTGGTCATGGGCAGGTGGTGCCTCCTGAGTCAGGGGGGGCACTTGCCCCCCCCAGCAGCCAGTCAGTGACTGGGGAGGGTCCCCCTGCGGTTGATCCCACTGACAACCGGGGGGGGCCCATCACCCTGACCCGCAAGTAGCAATGGCACGTTGCTGGCACTTCTAGGTGAGCGCAGTTGGCCGCAGGGGGATCGCGGGGATCACTTCTCCTGGCACCCCTACTCCCTGGCCAGTGCTCTTTGGGGGGCACCAGCGCTCTTGCCTGCCCCCCCTGCCTGGGAATGCTGGCTGTCAAGGGGTGCACCAGCGCTGTCGGGGGGGTGCATGTGCACCCTCTGTGCATCGCCACTGAACCCGGTCACTGTAAGTTGAGACTTAATCCTTTTGCGTTTCCTGGGTTAAAAAAACATGGTGCATGTGGGAAGGTTATGTTGAGGGCAGAGAGGAGCTGTGTGCTCTTAATCCAAGAGCCAAGTGGTCCTCTACCCAGAGCCTCAGTGCAGTCATAAACTATGCCATGTTTGTTTAGGAAAGCATGTATGTACTAAACAGGCCGAGCGTTGCTATCTTTTCAGCCAGTCCCTGGCCCCTGTTGATATAAACGCTGTAGCCAGTGACCAAACTGAGTGGTTGGTCATATCTGCTGTCTACATTGTGTCAGTTGTGCACTCATGTTTTCCAGACAGGCAAACCATTATTGAGCCCAAATTAACTATCTTTAACAATATGGGGAATGGAATTAATATGACCCAGGACTAAACGTTTCAAATGTCCCTCCTTGTAGGTATAAACAATTCTATCTCTCTTCTGCTTCTAATGGATAGTTCTCTGTGGGGTGGCGGGAGATGAAACAACTTACAATACACTGGACACCAGTGCATCGTTTTAAAGATCTGGTCCTGCGGAAATAACTCAGTTGTATTGCGAATACTGTGTACTAGTCCTCTTAAACTGACTGATCAGCTACAAGCACCTGCTAGCAAGGTGCTGATAATGAAAGGTAGTGGGGTATTAATAGAGTTCAGGGGCAAAGCTGCAATGACATTCCTATACCCTTTCTCTTTGCCAGGAAGGGGCTTAGTACCCTTTTTAGATGCTTGCTGTTTCCAGGGTAAGGTCAGTGGAAACTGATAGCTAGGCTTTCCTTTTGATAGAAAAGGTAATTTGTGGAAACTGATAGCTAGGCTTTCCTTTTGATTGCAAAGGTAATTCCCTGCCACTGAGAAGACTCTTTCAGTCTTTCTATTTATATTATAGCGTAACTAGTGATTCAGAATCATTCATGCTTCTGTTGATATTTCTAGGAGTGTGAAATTTTACAGTTGAACAGCAAATCAGCCTGCCTTTTAATACTAAATGTGGATGTATGCTGATAGCTAAAGGCCGTAGGGGCCAGGGCTAACAGCAATGGCCTCAAGGTACAGCAGAGGAAATTTTAGGTTGGAGAATAGGAAGAATATTATGATTAGGAAGGTGGTTAAGCAGTGGATTAGTCTATCTAGAGAAGACATAGAAATATTCACGTGCAGGTTGGACAGACACTTTGCTGGGATGATTTAGTTAGGAATGATCTTGCCTTTGAGGAGCAGGGCTAGTCTAGATGACCTTATGAAGTCCCTTCCAGCCTTACTTTCCTATGGTCTATGACTTCTTCTCCACTTCAGCAGCAGCGTAACTTTCAGATTCAGTAACCACTCATCACAGTGATTCAAAATGCCGCTTCTATTAAAAGGGAAGACTTCACTAGTGTTTGCGAAGTGTGGTATGGAACTCTGATCAGAAGACTGTTCAAGACTCCCATGCAGTCCCAGGGATGGGATGCACAATGAGCTAATTGTCAGTTCCTCCTAAGCTAGCTCTGCTCACCCTGCCTCTCTCCAATTTAAGGAACAATGGAAATGAGCCAGAAAAATTGTACGTGTCTTTTGTGTAACATTTTTGTGGCTGGTTTCCTGCTCTGGCATGCCACTAATTCCTTGGCCATGTGGCAGGGTTTATGGCGCAACTAACAGGTTAGTTGCATCTTGACTGTAATATTTGTCAGGGGCCCCAATCCCTCGCTCTCCTTCTTTTTTCTCTTGTAGCTGCTACTCCTTAATGAAAGGCTGTATTCTGAGAGTTCCTGCTGGGTCAGTAACACTGGTAAATCTCTGCATTCTCTTACAGCCTATCATGTTCAGGGGAGAGGTACGCCTGAATGTGGAAGAGAAGAAAACACGAGCTGCCAGGGAGGGTGATCGCAGAGATAACAGACCCCGTGGACCCGGAGGCACTCGTGGGGGGCTGGGAGGTGGGATTCGAGGGCCTCCACGTGGAGGGATGTCTCAGAAACCAGGATTTGGAGCTGGAAGGGGCATCGGGCAACGCCAATGAATACATCGTGGATGATGACACAATGGCACAAACCTTTGTTCCTGCAGATTTGTGAATTTCAGCCTTGGGTATCTTGGAATGTGGCCCTAGCCTGTTATAGACTGCTACGTTTGATACTATTTTGGCCCTTTTTTGTTTGTGTTATGGTTTTTTGTGATTTTTTTTTTTTCTAGTCCTTGTCCCAGATTCCAGCTTTGTGGAACAATATTAGGAAAAGTGGATTTTAAAAAAAAGAAGCAAGTTTCCTTGCTCATTGCAAACTGATGGACTGGATTTCTTGTACCAGTGGTCTTTCCTAATGGATTGTTTTTTCCCTGTATACTGAAATTGAGTGCATTTCAGTCGGTTGGAATAATCTTTCATCTGCATGTGTTGGAGAGCCTGTAGGAAAACCTAGCACTTGGCAAGCATTTCAAGGGCAGGAAAACTATTGTTTATCCCCTGAGGGTCATGTGAACATCCTCTGGTCTGGAGATGTTGCCACTTGACAAATTGACATTCACCCTTCTCTGTGGCGCTGTAAAAGTGGAATAAAGGGCATCCATAGAGTCCTTTTTTTTTTTTTTTTTTTTTTTTCCTTTTTCTTTTGATACATGATCACGAAAAGGAATTCTAACTACTGTTTTACCACTTACAAATTTTGGATTGTGGGATAGGTTTTAAATGTCTAGAACTTGACTCTTAAAACACTTTTCCTGAACTTGTGAAATTTTTTATTGAAATAGGGAGTTTTTTTCATGTTTAGTTTGTATTTGTATAAAAAAAAAAGCAAAATTGTTGTGCCTTCTATTTATCTCTCATTCCAGTCTTGGCAAATTGTTAAAAAAAAAATAAAATAAAAAAAGTCTAGATTTGCTTTATCAAGTGCAGAGTATGTGGGGATTTTTCCAAAAGGGTGAGTTTCCTATCACTGCCTTCTATCATCAGAACAGCCGAGGACTGGCTAGAAAATGCTTTGGAAATCTGAACCAAGCTCTACTACGGCAGCATGTAGAAGGGCAGAATTTGAAGCGGGTAATTTGGAAGGTGTGTGTGTTAAGGCTGACTTAGCTGCATGTACTTACCCTTTTGACTGAAAAATGGATGCTTTCCAGGTAGATGGTTTTGTAAAAAATTCTGTTGTTACAATATATATGTGGGAAGCAAGGTCTGCTTGTTCAGGACCAAGGCAGCAACTAAGTGATGTTAGACATGCATCAAATGCTGGTACGTTGTCTTAGTACTGCAGACTCAGTAGACTCTGCTGAAGGGATATGAAGCAGAATGTGAACTTCCAAGACTCCATACATATGCAACTTCTTTTTAACATTAGCTTGGAAAGATTGCAGTGTGCAGCCTGAATTTTATTAGTGTCACTTGGTCTGGTGTTCAATTTAAGTTGTGCAAAACCTCTGTAAGAATGGTGTGCTCATACCTCACAGCAAGCACTCATTTCTGGTATCACATAAGACCACATCAATAATTTCCTCTACAATTCGTTTGGTCTTGCTTTACCAATGCAGGACCCATCCAGCTGCAGCACATCTGTCTTGTCATCTGATACAGTGACTGCTTCCAGGCACAGGCAGGTTTATCAGAGTTTTGGATGTAACTGTACTAGAAAAAGAACTTGAGGGTTGAATAGAAATGATGCGGCCCTATCGTGTCCGCACCAAGACAAAATTGGAGGTTTTACTGTAACTTCAATAGAGCTGAATGCTGCAGTTTTGCTTTATTTGTGACCTGGTCCTAAATAGAAAGCTTGGTTGTGTGAGCAAACTCAATGTAATGATGGTAGTTGCAGTGTGATTCAAGAAAGATTCAAGAAAACTACTAGAAATATACAGCACTTCCTCTTACAGTATTTGCCTATATAGACTCTGTTCACAAAGTTTTCACCCACTTGAGCAGGAAAGCAAACTGGCTATCAGTGCAAAGAGCATAAGGACAAATCTTTTTTCACAGCCGTTTATCCTTGACAATTCCTTTCAGTGTCTCTCTTGCCTATACCTTCATAATGGTGAGCTCATATCCTCACACTGAAATCCAGGGGAGTTTCTCTTTTAAGAAGTCCAAGACATCAGTAATAGAAGCTGCATTTTGGATCATCAGAGCATTGTGAAGAACCTCTGTAGTAGCACCTGCCTTCATACAGGCCAAATCTGTAAACACGTACTAAAGGACTTTTCCTATGGCAGTATTTGGTCAGTTTTTGGCTCGGCCTCATGCTGGGGAAGAATGAAGATGACCTGCAAAACTAATGAGCTGTAATGAGTTGATGTTCTTATCACAGCTGCTTAAAATGAGATCAAACAACGTTACAATAATGCAAGAGAGCTGAAAAGTGAAAATGACCATGTGCTTTTATTGTCTCCATTGAATAAGGTATTTTTATTTAATGCCTCTTACAAAAATCCGTGCTTGTTAAAAACAAATTGCTCTGATAGCATCTGGAACAAAATGAAAGAAACTAATTCTTGATTAATAGAAATCAATATCGTATCTTCATGCTCTATTTTATTTTTGATAAAGCCTATTATAGGCTATTTATTTGATGCACTTCTTGCCGGAAGGAAGTCTCTTCAGGAAGAGACTTGTTGAAAGAAGACTAATGTTGACTTTGTTTTCAGTGTGCTAGCCCATATCTTGCACATTTGGCTTTCTGCTTGTAATTGGTCACCCCAAAATACGCATGCTCTTCCTCAGTGATTTAATGGTGCCGGAGCATCATGAGACCTGAAGGACTGAACGATAGATGTGTACTCTCAAAATCTTTAGAGGTTTTAGTTTTGAAAGTTGCGAAAGTTCCTTCGTTAACCAATTGGTTGATCAAACACCCAGGAGCCCCTTCAGACTAGAAAAGACATCAATCTTCTGACGGAGACTAAGCACGTGTTGTTCTAAGTCAGCAGGCCTCCTTGCTTGTCTAAAGTCTTCGTCTTGGGCAGAAATGATTCCAGGTCTCAATAAAAATGCAGTGGGTAGCTGTCATTTCAACTGATTTCATTTTATCAAGGCCGGAGGTAATGAGCACAGCATAGTCTTTCTCTTTGGGCACAGGGTTTCCATGAAATAGTCTTAACGCAGGCAAGAACTGGCCTGTTATACTGAAGACCTTTGTACCCGCTGTCTTAATTATGTATCGGTATTCAGTCCATATGTATTTAACAATATGCTATCAACCTCCCAGTGTGACGAATGCAAGGCATGTTGCCATGGTTCTGTTAAAATCGACCGGCGTGTCCCCACTGCACAATTAACCTCGGCTTGTGTGCAGGCTTTAGTCCAAGAATCCTTCAGTTGCCCAGGAAAAACACCACCGGGTGATGTTCGAAGCCCCAGGTTGCTTAAGTGAGAACCTAAAATCTGTTTTTTTCAGTGATGGTGCAGGCATGATCATTTGTGCTGCCAATTCTCTGCCCTTCTCGCCACACTTCTTGAAAGACAGACGGTGAATCATACTGGGAAGGAATCCTGGAGCATTTCAATCAAAGAGCAATGGCGCATACCCCTAGAGACATGCAAGCGGGGACCAAACCAGGGTGGAGGCAGCAGTACAGGCCAAGTTTTACTTTTGTGGATTCGCACCTGCCTAAGCTCCCCTGGCTACCTACTGCCATGTGCCATTCACTGGCATTAATGGGTAGAGACCCCCTAAGCTGCCTGGAGTTGCAGCTTTTATATTAAAAAAAAAAAAAAGGGGTGGGGGTGAGGGGAGGCAAAGGTAAATCCTGTAGAGCAGTAGTTCTCAGCCTTTATTGTACCAGGACCCATTTGTAAACATCCATGGCCGGTCCCAACCCAGTCAATAGTTTAAGCAGAAAACAGCTCCTGCTGACCTACGGCCCCCAGGCCTCCCTGGTGTGTGGAGCATGGGAGGGGGGTCCCCAAGCAATCCCTTGCAGGCTGGAATTGTCACCTGCAAGGGAAAACCGACAGTTTCCCACATTTTTTCTCCTTTTAAAAGAATCCATTTTTAAAGCTTGTTCGTGACCCTTTTGTATATTCTTGTGACCTACTTTTAAGTTGTGACCCCTGAGTTGAGAAACGCTGCTGGAGAACATAAGGTACGGTGACATTGGTTAGCTCTAACTATTTATCTTGGTCAAATGTTTTGCCCTTGATTTTTTAACTGTACTGTTGTGCTAGCGAGTTGGTGTTAAACCAGCCTGGAATTTATAGTCTACCTTAAACTCAGTCCTGGCTGTGTGATGCCAGTAGGGAATCATCAGAGTTAGGAATATCCTAGTCCCTAACTGTTAGGACACTCCTAATAAGCAGCCCCTTGCTTCAAGGGCACAAGCTTTGCTGGAGTTCCCCAGTTAGATTTGTCCATTTCTGCAACGCTGCCTGTTTTTGTTGGTCCTGCAGGTGGAACTTGATTTGGGTTTCAACGTATGAAACACTGGCCCTCATGCTCTTGCCAACTGTGGGCCCGTGGAGGAGCAGTGACTCCAGATGAATAGGAAGATTGTTCTGAAGAGATGCTGCTGGCGCTATAACATGGCAACGTGCGTCTGGCTAGCGTTTGTCTTGGCTCTGAAAGTTCCTGCATGCCTGCTGCCTGCAGTGGGGGCCTTCGGAGAATAGATACAAGCTGCCAGGCATTTGTTATTGTGCTTTCTGCTTCCAATATGTAAGGGGGGGTGGTGGGAAAGGACACAACTGCAGCTTTTAAACTAGGCAGGATGGGCTCGGAGACCCTCATCTCTCGTAGCAGGCTCCCACTTCATGGGAAAAGTGTATCCCGCTACTCGGGGATGGCCAGCAACTTATAAAATGCCATCTTTTCATATTGTAGTACGAACAATACGAAACAATCATTCTAGCAGTCTTCCTAAATGCTCTCTTAAAGCAGTGTACATGTGTGATTTGCCTCTCTTTCTAGAAGCACCAGTCTCAGCCTTGCTGGGGACCAGAAAAACGGGTTTCCCACGGCCTTCTGGGTAACATCTGTGTGTGTGTTCTCTGGCTAAGGCTGGCATCATCAGATTGGATTTAATAGGTAATCCTTTTATACAGCACTCCTAATCTGAACGTTTTCTTCACTGTAAACCATGGCATTCCTTGAAGCTAATAGATTAAAAAATTTACCGCAATGCTGAAAACAGCTTTCATTGTGTGGAGCTGTGGCAAGTTTTGGAAATATATTTAAATATCACGATGGGGACCCCTCCGCCTTTCAGTTACTTTTCTGAATTGGCTTAGCAATGCAGGTACCACTTGCCTCTTGCCTAATTGAACTCCAGTACTTGGGTGCCTTGTCAGGTGTTCAAGGGGAAATGTTGTGTCTCCTGGCTTGTCTCCATCTTCAGTTCTGGGTAGCTTTTTATTCCTGTCCAACAACCTCTTCTAGATGTTGTGCAGAGATGGCCTCGTCCCCAGTGAAATGACATGCAGTGTGTGTGGAATATCACACACCAGGGCTTTAGATACTTTCCTCTACTTAGTGACACTATTGCCCATCCACACACAACTCTCTAGAACAAGCCATAGCATTTCAATTTGCATCAAGGCCTAGGGTACATTACAGAAAATAACAGCATTCCTTCCTAATCAGGCATTTCTAAAACGCCATTTCTTAGGGGCTCTAGATTATTGTAAAGTAGAGAAAAAAGCAGATTAACAGTCTGTCTCGATCCCAGCTGACACTCTTTGAAACACCAAAGCTATTATGCAAGAAGGATTTTTGTGAGTGATATCTTTTACTGGACTAAGTGCGTGTTGGACTGATGCTGTTGTCACGTGCAGTGTTTATAGCACGCTCGTCTGTCTTGAATGTGGGTAAAAGGCTACTTTTTTACACTGGGTGCCCAATTGCAATACCCAGACCATGTTCTAAAGCCTGTGGGGGTGTTCTTTGTAGTGAAAAGGAGATTAACCTTGTTCCCAGATCTTGCTATGTCTCTGCAAAGGCCAAAGCAACATGCAGGGTTTAGAGTTGTGGATAGCTTCATTCTAGCCACACCACAAAACTGTTGCATTTAACAGGCTTCCCATCCTTGTAGGAATTGCAGGGTAGACGAGAGCTCAGAAGGAGTCTGTGTGCAAGGATCTATCTTTCCAGATGACTTGGTAAGAATGACCCTACTTCTTGATTCCCATGTGATGCTAAAAGCGCTAGTACATCTCCCAAGAGCCCGGGCTTCAGAATATCACGTGTCTCGTGCTAAAAATCCACAGAGAGAAAATTTCAGAAAACTTTTATTTTTTTTTGTTTTTTGTTTTGTTTTCATTTTTTTTAAACTGGAATCAGCATGAATGTATGGTTCAATAAATATATTTTTATATACACTTAACAACAGAAATTTTACATTCCATCTTCAAACTGCTGAAATAGAACTTTTTTGTTTTTAAAATTTTGATTTTTTTTTTTTACAAGCCAAAAAAATAATCTGCCATTGCTTCTGTGTGTCTGTATGTCCATGCAAACTGTACTCATAGAAGTTACAGGTTTTGTTCTTTATGAAGTAAAAATATTAATCTTAACGAAGCAGTTGCTCTACACTCTGTGCCCAAATATAGCAAAACACGTCCTTAAATGGAGCATTAAGGCCATACCAATTGTATACATATATACAAATAAATTCAACTACAAAAGACAGGGAAGTCACTTTTTTAAGGTGGGCTGGGGAGAATAGTAGCACATTTTTTTCACGTCTAAATGAGTTGTTTTTGTATCTTGGAAAACATAGTGCTTATCTCTCTCTAAGATGTGTATTTTCTGTATTTCTCTAGTCCTGGCTGTATTCTTGAGGATAGTAATATGAAATCTAATCTCCCTGATCCCACTCATAGGTCCCACCTGACTCCCTCCTTTTGAACATATTTGATTGCCACAGAGCCAGTGATAGTGCTACAGATGCGAATGGTTTCAGCTCAGGTAAGAGCTCATTGAGTGTGTGCCATTAAGTTCTATTGCAGCAGGATAATTAAGACCAAACTCAAGCTTCCCTTTTAGGTATGGAGGTAGTTGGGGAGCAGTTGAGGGCTGCCCAATTATCTCTTCCTGCTTATCTGAATTTGGGGAAGAGAAAATATCTCCCCTGTAAACTCCTTGCAAGAGGTGGACTTTTATCTCATAACCTCCATTGCAATGCAGCAGACAACCCAGACCTAACTGGGTGAGTCTGAACACCTTCTGTTCCTAATTGTTACATTGTTACTTGCAGTTACAGGTCAAAAGCATTAAAATTGAACAATAACAAAAATCTTTTTTTCTTTAAAGGCTTATTAGAACAGGAAGGGTTTTAAAAATCCAATTGACTTGTTGCCTTTTGAGGCTATTGCTTGCTTTCAATGCTTTATTCTCATGGCAGAATGAATGCAAACTACTTGGTTTCATTGCAGATTCTACTGACTTCTTTTCCCCTTTCATTTTGTACAATGTTCTTCCAAAAGTGCATTAAATAGGGTGCAAATGGTGTAGGGTAATGGTTACAGGCAGGCTGGGAAAACAAGTGAAGTCCCAGTCTTTAAAGTGGAAAGATTAAGATGGAGGAAGAAAACCAAATGGTGCAGTAGCTATTAACAGGGTTTAGACTTTTGATATGTAATGGAAAGTAATGGTCATTCCTAGGCCAAAAAATCCTAAAAAAAGTTTCCCTTTGTACAGGCATCTTACAGAATGGAGAGAGAGAGATACAGAAAATAAAGGAAAACAGTGTCACCTCTCAGTCATTTAAAAAATATTCTGGGAAGCACTTTTTGTAGGCACAGTCTATAGGGTCTGATCTGAGGGTCAAATTTATCCTATGGTTCATGCTTCTGGGATACTCTGCGCCATCATATTTCAAGGACATGGACAAAAACCCAGTGCTTGTGCACGGAGCCATTCCCTGTATTGGCGCCTGAACTCTGCAGTTACGAATTAGAAATAGTTTCTACCAAGTATGTTTTCTCCTCCAAAGTAACATCATGCATGCATAGTTTATCCTTAACAGAAGGAATGTATTAAGCAATTATAAGGGCTTATTTTGCTTCTGAAGATGCATTTATTCATCTAAAAAAAAAAAAAAAAAAAGTAAAATTGTGGGTGGTATGTATGTTCCTTAGAAGGGAAGAGAGCTCTGCTTGCTTTTATTTTTTGGTCAATTATGTATGTGTATTTGCACTGCTTCTCTCTCTTCATGTGTTAATACTCTAGAAATGGCAGGTGTCACATTGCGATATAACACAAGTACACAGCCTATCCCATGCGATCCCCATCCCCAGTGACGTGCCGATGTGCAGCTGTTGGTTGGGTGGTTACAAACAGCTGTCCCATGTGTCTGTACATCTTCTATGGTGTTCAAAGACTGTTTCCAGAATGGCGTGAAACCATGCTGCGGGATGATGATGTACAGTGAAACGCATGGGACCCCCGCACCTCACACCATTGTAGGGGAAGTCCTTGGCGGGTTGCTTCCGCTCGTCACGATGCCTTTGTCTTTCAGTGTCTCAAGCAGAGGCGTGAGCGACTCGTAGCAAGTGCCTTCCAACTTCAGTTCCATCCAAATGCAAAGTGAGTTCAGTTCTTGTCCGAAGCGGCTCAGCGAGTTCATAAAATAGGTGGTGAGCTCTGGCTGCTGTTGGTTGGAGCTATCAGTTCTTTCTTAAGAAACCAGAGCAAGGTTTTTCCTTGTCTGCTACACATGGCTTCTGTTTCGCAGCAAGAAGGAGCTGGTCCCAGCCAGGCATTTTGGGATAATTCATGCGCCTCACAGGTGGATAAAGTCAGTTGGCTGTTGGCTTTGTGCCTTGTGCCAGTGCCTATAACTTAATCTGAAATCCCAGCGTTGGCCTACCCCTTGAGCAGAGAGCAGGAAACGCAATGTTCGTTGTACAGCGAGACTCGGGGATCGCTGCGGGCAGCCGTCCTGAGCCTGGAGATCAAGTCCGCGCACCGCGTGTTTTTCATCCCATCAAGGCACCCCTACTCTGTCCCTGCTATTCACGTCCCTGCACAATGTCACTCCTATGACCAAGGACCTTTCTCAAGCTGACAAACCCCCACATTAACCTGCCTCCCAAGCTCAGCTAGCAGGGAATTGATATTTGGATGCTGTGCGTACCCAACCGGCTCTCAATGGGAGAAGATGGCATGGACAGTAGAGCTGCATGTGCATCTTCCAGCTGCCCCAGTGTACTCAGTGGCCTGGATCAGTGTTGGGACCTACTGGTGGATGGGGCAGTGAAACTTCTATCAGGAAGGGTCCATTTGCTCCATGTACGTGGGGTTTTTTTTTCCTCACCTAGGTTAATTTAGGCGTTCGTCAGCTTGGTGTGGCCCTGTTAAGCTTCACGTTGTGCCTTACTAACCTCCTACATTGTCCCAGCATTTGAACAGTGCAAACAGTTTTGATCCAAACCTAGACAACTAGCAAGGGAGAAAAGAAAGAAAACCAGTGCGAAGACAGAGACCCAACCTACAAAACTCTTATTCTGTTGCATGTCCTTGAAGACCATCCCCTTTTGATGTCAACGGGCCAGATTTGCCCCTGGATTGAGCATGAAGTCCTGCTCGCTTACAGCAGGGCTGTGTTTGGCTCAGTGGGAGTTACAACAGGATTAAGGACCCCGAGGACTTGAGAGTGCAGAGGTTTTCCAGAGCTGGAAGAGGCCTCCGCTGCTCCCTTCGCTGGTAATGCCAATTACATTGCTTTTTGCCCACATTTGTGCAAATGGAGAGAATGCAAAATTATGGGCATTTTGCAAAAGAAATGGAATTGACCTAAATTCTGGTGAAGAAGAAGCATCGCTAACATGAAGCTGATGATCCTTGCTGGTGAGATGAGGTAGACAGGAGATCTAATGTGTTAGTGCATACGAGAAATGGGTTTGTGGAAGGAAAAGGAAAGCTTATTGGTGTTCTTTCATACAGTCTACTTTTTGGGGGGCGGTGGGGGATGGCAGGGGTGGGATGCTCAAGAAGCCTCCTTCTTGGTACCTCTCCCCATACAGCAAAGAAAAGAAACCTCCTGGATGGAGAGAGCTTGTTATAGTTCCTGCTTCGCCGCTACAGCAAGGTCCATCCCTCCCCTGGTCCTTTGCATGTGAAAGGCCAGCATTTTCTTGTTCCCACCTGACAGCTCTTGTCTTGTGCTGTGAGCTAGGGTTGCAGAGACATTGCTAATGCTGATCTGCCCTCCTCTAAGGTTCCCTTTGAAAATCCACAGGCTGTAAATCCCACCCTCCTCCATTAAGGCATTAAGCAAACCCCTGTCACTTCCACCCCCCTCCCCCATCTGTGCTACAGCACTTCCATGTCGCTGCCCCCCCAAGGTACTGTGCAGAGCTGCCTGCTCTTGTGAGAGTGGAGCTAGGTAGGAGCAATGTTAAGTGCTCACAACATGGTTTTCTGTCGTTAGCAGGATGGGAGCAGCCAGGTGGCTCAAGCAGCCATTTCTCCGTCACAGGTGAGGGTATTTTTTTTTTTTTTTTAGGGTGAGAGAGTGCATAAGGAGGGAGGCATCAGCCGTGTAGCCTTAACATCCCTTTTAATATTGCATAGCTTTATTTCAATAACAATCTGCTCCTATCAAAAGGAAGCGCCAAGGAGCAAGCGCCGGCTGGCATCAATCAGGAGTCCTACCCGAGCCAGCCCCCAAGGCTTGGGCTTGGAAAGGGAATTAGAGCCCTGAGGAAGGGCTGTCATCACAGTCGGCTCCAGCTCTTACCCAGCCTGGCTGCAATCCTCATGCAAAAGCTGCTGCCCCACAGTGTTATCAACCCAGGTGCAGGTGCTCGAAGCTGAAGCCTGAGCAGTGCTTTCACCAGGGCTGGTAACTTGCCCGCATGGCAGCTGAGCCACTCTGGTGCTGAGCGTCTTCCAGTGCCTGCCCGAGTCCCCAGGGCACCCAGAACCACTGCCAGATCCACCCACAAGCCTCTCAGAGTGCTGCAGGGTGGCCCGGCTTGCATCCGTGCTGAGAACCACTGGCTGTGCTACAATTGCTAGCAACACACCCAGCCCAGGGCTGCACCTAGGAAGCCCTGTAGCCTGACTATGGTTTTGCAGTTTGGCTAACCTCGGGGCTGGTCACTTAGATGGGGTCGGACTTGATGATGGGTCCCTTCCGCCCCTAAAATCTATGAAATCTAGATCCTTTCTGCAGCAACGACACACCCTCTAGCTTACAATATGGGCAACCTGCACCAATTTAACCAAGGTGGGATGTTGCACTGTTTTAATTGAACCAGGGCAGCTCGGTGTGTGAACGCTCTTATTCTGGTTCAATCCTGACTTCCATCAAGCCGGCTCACCGTGACACATCACAGCAAATCCTTGACAGCACTGGAATGATTAAACTGGGGTAACCCGTTAACACATTTGACCCTGTCCAAGAATTTGGCTCTGTGGCAACCTGTAACACACAAGTTGTTACCTGGCCACAGAACATGACTAGCAAATATGAGAGAGGAGAGGGATAAAAAAAACAGCATGTTAAGTAGGTGTATCAGTTGTCTCAGCAGCTATCAGATATGAGTTTCATGGCCTAGGAAGAATAGTACCCTTCAGTGACTGGCTCTAGCAGTCTTGTATTAAACCACAGTGCAAGGACTAAAACAACGTTCATGGTTGTCCCAGAGCTGAGCCCTATTCACAACCTACACCAGCCAGGTCAAGAACACATAGCATCTGTGATGCCTGCACCCACGGACAGAGAGTGCGAAGTCAGGAAACCAAGGTTAGGAGAAACACTGATGCTGTCCTGGGTGTTTTTCCACCAGGTGGTACTTGGTTTAGAGCTGAGCAAAAGGGACAAGTCGATGTTCTAGAGCAATGACCCGTGTGACTGGTTGGTGGTGGAAGAAGAAGTTGAAAGAGCTGCTCTTGAAAGTGGGAGACATGCCGGACTTCTGCAGGGACGTGCATGTGGATACTTGTGCATACGCGCACATACACACACACATGCATAAAAGGTAAAGAAGAACATCATGGCGACTGCCTGCTGTGATTTTTCCCATACACACATCTCCAGAAGGCTTCACGTTTCCAATGCCAACAGGCCCTGACCCTAGGGTACGGATGTGCATGCTGCTGTGGCACCATTCCCCTCTTGCTGCATGATGCGTGCTGGGGACGGACTTAACTGCTGCTTTTCCTCTCCCGGTTGCCACCACCTTTGTGGCCTGGACTTGTCTCAGGTCTAACAACAGCCCTACAAGCAACACGGGGGCAGCATCTGGGTAGGAAGGAGATGACAGAATAGGACCGAGAGGATGCACCCTGGCAATATAGGACCTCAGCACCACGTCTGCTTCCCACACTGCCAGATACCTACACACAGTGAAATTGTTCCTTGACCTTATGCTGGACTCAGGGAGCTCCTTCCTTTCAGCACCTAGGGGCAGGCCATATGGTGGGGAGAGGGGGCCTTAGCGTGGTATCAATTAAGAGCTAATTATTGGACAATAAAAGGGATGGTGGAAGTTTCCCAGACCAAGGGCATTTCCAAGGGGGGGGTGGGGGGGAAGAGGAGAAACACGTGAAACTTGGGTGGTGATAAAACAGAGAAGCCAAAAGCTACTTTGCAGCTCACAGGAATCAGGCTGATGAGCAAGAGTTGATCAAGGACACGAGATGCATAAAGCAAAGCAACAGAGATGCCATCACTGCTTAGAGAGAGGAGAGGATGCCAGGGCAACTAGTCGAGGAACTCTTAGGGACCCTAAAAATTACGTGATGCTAATCTTAATGCCCCAAAGAATGATCCAGTGTCATCATTTTCTGTGTATATAATGAGGGCGATTTCTTCAGAAGTAGGAGCCGAGTTAGGTATTTGGAATAGGGCTGATCCTGCCTGCACTACGTGACTTTTGGAGGTTCCTTCCAGCATCACTTCTCTGAGTCTGACCCAGCTCTGGACCACCCTTCCTGACAGCAGTGGGGTCATGCCTGGGATAGATTTGGTTCCCTTCCCTTCTCATATGTCAAATGACTATTTGTCCCTGATTCTTACCCTGTGCTTTGATTTAATAGGAAGCAGGATCCCAGTCACCCCCCCCGATCCTTCATGCCTTTCTGGAGGTGGTCCTTTAAATCTTGCACCCTTCAAGAGGCTAATTTTGCACCTGGCTGTTGCTTGCTGTAGGTCCTTCCCTTCTGTTTGCTGGTAATTTCCCTTCATTTCAACCCTGTTTCCCCTTTGTTATTCTTAGAGAGGGGCACATTCTCAGCAGGGCTTTGGCTGTGTCTTCACAAAGGAGGAGTTAAGTATCAGCATAAGAAAAAAACCCCCAAAAACAAACCCCAAAACTTTTTGCAGCTTCCTTGATGGGAAGGTATTTTCCCCCAAGGATTTATTGTGGGGAGGGAGAACTGGCTAATCTGTGCTGGGAGGGGGAGGGAAAAGCTGGCTGGGCCCTTGCAGATCTGAGCCCTGGCAAAGCAGGCTGATCCCTTGTCTTTGGGGTCTTCCTTGTGGGGGTGTCCGTGGTGTGGAGGGGGATTGGAAGAGACTCCCATAGGATGGTGTTTGCTGGAGCGGCGCGAGTGGGGCTGGAGGATGAGGGAGTGGTCATGCTCCTGGAGACTGGGGCAGGTGGAGGGTCTTGGTTTAGATGGCATTTCCCAGCACCGAGCACTAAGGGAAACAGAATGAGGCCTCCCTTCCCCTGATGTTTGTAGCTGGGAGAATTGGTCCACGTGGAGCAGGGCTGGATACACCTCGTGTCTCTGTGCTGGGCGATGCCCCTGTCTCGAAGCCTAAACTGTGGAGAAGGAGGTTAAATGCACTGAACAGATGTGCTTGCAAATAGCAAACGTGGAAGGGGCTGACTTTGGTTCCTAGACATGCTGCCTGGGTTTCTGGGGGCTGGGAGCAGTGTCAGAAGAGCTGCCCATGTGTTTGGGTGCCTGGGGCAGAGCGTGGTGTGACCCAAAAGGGTCCAGAAGGAAAAGAGGCCAGGGGAGAGCTGGAAGGAGGAAGCTTCCAAGGTTTCTAGATGAATTTAGGGGACCCCAAAGGGAAGCTGCAGGTGGGAGCATGGGATCTGATGTCTCAAATTAGAACCTGGCTGAGGCCGCCTCTGTGCCGGGCTGCAGGCTCCCATTGCCAGCTGCCCCAAGAGCCAGGCTTTATGCTAGTGCTTGGTGCAGGGAGTAGCAGCTCACCTGAGAGGCAGGCAGGGGGATTCCTGCCATAAGAAAGGCTTTGACCTTGGAGGAGGCTGGGGAGTGGGGTGCCAGGAGAACGCCAGGTGCAGAGGCAGGAAGGGAAGCTGGAAAAAGAAAAATCCCAAGACCTGGCTCAGCGATGGTTTGAAAGTGGCTCAGCCAGGATGACTGCCTCGCGCTCCCAGCACGGCGCTGGCAATCGAGGCCAGGCTGCCAGGCTGACCTGGTTTGACTCAGCAATTGCATAATGCCTGGGACAGGAAAGCAGGGATCTGCGAGTTGGTGGCACTGCGGGACAGTGGCTCTGCTGGGCTGGTCTGTGAATAGCTCCAGACACAGTGTGTCCGGGCTGGAAATCCCTGCGATTACTAGCTGAATTCCCTGGGATCAACCAGGACAAGTGGGGCAGGGTGGAAAGTGAAGCCAGAGGAAACCAGGGAGGATTTGCATGAACAGTCCTTCCTCAGGGCCTGCTAGGGTCCCTGCCAGTGACCCTCCTGGCAGCCCCTAGCTGCACTCTTCCCTCTGATCCTGAATGGAAATGTTTGGGGAAGGGGCTCCAGGCTCCCTCCGGTGAGGTGTTGAATGCACTTCTGCATTGAGATTAACAGGCAGCATACAGCTTGTATTAAGGAAGTCATTGAGTCTGGAGAATCCCAGCCTCCAGGGAATGAATCCTTTCAAGAGCTGATGTGTCCATAACACCTGGCCAGTCTGCTCAGGCAGGGCTTGCATAGCAGCGTGCGGATAAAGGGCTTCCTAGAAGAAGGAGCAAGGTTGGCACGTTGCAGCTGGGATGTACAAGAGGCCAGGGCTCTGTTGCAATATCCTTGATGGGAACAAGTGTGTAGCAGGGAAGAGATGTCTGACCTTCCTTCCTGGAGGAAGGCAGCAGTGAGACATCTGTCCCTGCCCATTTGTGCCTGGAAGGTCTGAGTCAGGTGCAAGGGAGGGAAGGTTATTCTCAAAGGAGAAGAGGTGGAGGATGGCCTACAGTGAGCCCTATTGTCATGTCAATGGTGCAATGGCCAGAGGGGATTCTTGCCTTGATCACCTCCATTTCCAACTCAGAGTATCTGGTTTAATTTCATTTTTGCATGTAAAGTGCTGGCTCTTCGATTTACTGAATTGCACAATTAAACCCTTCAGGGAGAAGGAAGAAGAGGCAGGAGAAAGGGATGACATAAAAATGCATGTACCTGCACACGCACAAAAGCCACTGTGCTCCAATCTGTATGTTCCCAGCCAGGCATCTTTCATCCCCCTATTAGTGGTCCGGTGCTGGTTTGAATTTCTTTATTGGGTGCCCTCTGAATATGATTCCCATCAGAAGTTTTCGATGCAGTGTCTGGTTTTACTCTGGCTATGTGCCGACTTTTAAGACCTAGCATGTGGGTGGAAGTATCCCAGAGCCAGGGCGTTGCTGAGGAGGGAAGAAGAGACTGTGAAACATGGGTGGTGATAAAACAGAGAAACCAAATGCCACTTTGCAGCTCATGGGAATCAGGCTGATGAGAGAGAGTTGATCAAAGACGTGAGACGCATAAGCAAAGAAATGTAGATGCCATTGCTGCTTGCCACCAAACAGCGAGGTTATTCCAACTTTTCTCTGAGCCTAACCTGCATATAAAATGAACTTTTCCAACCAGGAGATTTTGCCACACCTTCAACTCTCCTATGAAATATGAACTTTCATTTCTACCCAGGAGAACTTTTACAGTCTTTTCTCCGATGCCTGATGAAGGGTGTTTGTGCCCGAAAGCTTGCAATTAAAGATTTATTTATTTATTTTTTTTGCAAAAATCTAGTTGGTCTAATAAAAGCTACTGATCACTCCTTAAAGAGAGGAGAAGATGCCGGAGCAACTAGCTGAGGAACTCCTAATGGCCCTAAAACAGGGGCAGGCAATTATTTCGGGCACTTACTGAGTTTTGGCAAGCTATTGAGGGCCACATGAAAGGCAGCCTGGGGCAGATAAATATTAATTTTCTAAATTTTTAGGGGCCCCGTGGGCCGGATAGAATGGCCTAGCGGGCCACATCTGGCCTGCAGGCTGCATTTTGCCCACCCCTGCCCTAAAATCATGTGATGGTTTCTGCGTTGGGGCTAATCTTAATGCCCCAAAGATCCATTGTTATCATTTTCCTTATATATAATGAGGGCAATTTCTTTAGAAGAACAAGATCCAGTGTCATAATTTTCCTTATATATAATGAGCGAGATTTTTTTTTTTTAGAAGAACAAGCCAATTTTCCACCATCACCTCCCTTTTGAAAAGCTTGGGCCTTGGAACGATAGCTCTCCAGGAGTCCAAGGAATGACAGCCCAATCCTTTCCCCCTGAAACTGGGGGTTAGGCAAAAGATTGATATGCATGCAAGATGAGCCCCAAGACTGGAGCTACAGAAGTGGTGGACAGGAGCTTGCCAGAAGCAAGGTGGAATAGGAGGAGGAACAGGATCTGATCCCCAGCGCCACGCTGCACTAGAGGAGCTGCCAGAGGCAGGTCTACATCCTTGTAGCTCTGTTTGCAAAAACCTGATATTCTACCGCCAGGCAGGTTGCCTCGCCTCACCTCGCCTACAAGGGCAAGGAGTTTCTTGCAATTACCTTCGAAGCTTGGTTTCTGGGCTGGTTCCAGACTCGCAATCCCTAGGCTTGAATAAAGAAGGGGAACAAACTGCTGCAAAAATATGATTTGATACAAGCTATGGAAAACAGTCAACCATTGAAACCCCCTAAACTTTTTTCCCTGTGGAAACACTCTTCTTTCTTTTTTATTTTTATTTTTTACAAAACTAATTCTAAAAAGTTGAGATCCTTTACCACCTGCTTCGGGAATGGGCGGCAGATAACCTATAGCATATGGTTGTGCTGATTTGAAGTGGCTGGCCCTACTTTGGAGTGGGTTAGACCCCAGTAGCAAAAGCCTTGCTCTTTTGGGGGGAGTGGGGAACCGGTATTTAAGAAAGTAAGTAACTTTTATTCTGTTGGCAGAAGGATTTTCAGTTTCCAGTGGCCTTGGGGCTTCATCCTAACAAAACAAGTAGCGTCCACTTAAACCTTAAGCATGTGAATACTTTCAAGGCAATCGCACATTTCAGAGGAAGCAGGTGCTTAGGCGCATGGCTGGATTTGAGCGTGGCCAGTTTTCTACAGCACCAAGCACCTCCTGGCTTATCCACCCCTTCTCACAGGGCTGCGACTCTCAGGGCTGACTGTAGCAGGAGGACCTGACTCCCGGCTGATGTTGATCATGAATGAAAGCTTAAAAAATAAAATAGCAAGGTCAAATAGAAAAAAACCCAACCACGTTCCTCCTAGATGGCCAACACATTTTCCCCCTCGTGCCTATATTAGATGCGAAAAATAATTCAATGTATTAATTTTCCTCTGCTGATCTGAAAATAACGTGGGAAAAAAGGGGAGCATTTTCAGCAGTGCCTAAGTGCAGTTTTGCCCTTTTTTTATCCATGAATCACTCTTTTTCCTTTTCTTGCTTCCCCTCTAGCTGTTCAGCAACATCATGAATTGCCCTGAAATCTACTCTTGAGACCGATTTCCACAAGGGAGCGACGGCTGGAGGAATTGATCATATCCAGCCGTATCAGAACTCGACCATGCAAGTCAAGAAACCCAGAGGCCGTTGCTAATGAACATTGATAATCGTTATAAAGCAGCATCCTTGGAAGACAGCACAGGTTAGAAACGCAGTTTGCTTCAGACTGCGGAGCAAATGCAGTAAACTACACGATATAGAAAAAGGCGGTGGCAACACTTCCGTAATTGCCAGCGCTTCGATCCTGCAGGGATGAGTATTAAAAACAAAGGTCTTGTCTAGACAGTGGGATTGACTAGCAGAACTGCAGCAGCCTGGCTGTTTCTAGCCACCTCGCTATATTTATGCCATTACAGCGATGCTGGTATGACCTCCCCTGCGGACATGTGGTTTCAGAAGTGCCAGTCAGTGTCAGCACGCGGATGGGCCCTTTGAGGGAGAGATGGTCTAAATTCGAAGTGACGGCTCGAGGTGGGAGAAGTGACAGGGCTCAGAGCGAATGACACATGTTGGGCCCTGAGCTCAATCCGTTGCCTTTCCTGCGTTGGCTCGAACCCCCTAGGATCCCTCCGTGTGAGCGTCCCTCTGTGGCTACAACGGGACTGTCAAAGTCCTTGTCTGCCCCCAGGAAGGATGGTCACGGTGTTGGGGCACGTGTCCTGTAACGGCTCAAACCAGGCAGGACTCAAGATGAGCCCAAGTGGCCAAAATGGGTCCAAATTAGATTTTGGGGCCAAATTACCCCAGCACATCAAGGTTGGGGGGCATTGGACTCAGGCACTTCGCTACACAAGACCCATTCTCCTCACTCCCTGAGCCCCAGATTATGCCCTATGCATAGGATGAAGTGGGAAAAGTGAAGGGTAGCATCGTGCTTGGGTGGGTCAAAGCAAGATGAAGATTTCCTGCCATTGTAAACGGTGTATTTGATCTGGGGATAGCCTAGCAGGCACTCCCTTCTTGCAGCAAACCCAACCCAGACATCCTGGCAGTAGTTGGAGATGCCTCCTCTGAGTAGCACCAAGCCCTGCTGCCGCTCCCCTGAATTGGTAGTATCGCGCGTCGTATTTCACTACCTCTCTAGCCAAGGCCTAAGAAAATATACTGTGTTTTTCTCTCGTACGTGCAATGAAAACCACCCCCTCCACTCCCCTCCCCTCTCTCTTCCCCCTCCCCTCCCTTTTTATTTATTTTTTAAATAAAGTGAATTTAGTGCTAGTGAAAGGTGCTAAGGTGGCAGCCTTGGAGGCCAACCTCTGTCTCCCCAACAGAGAAGACCACCGGGGAAACAAAATAAACTTTCTCCGTATTGGCCCTCTTCCCCCCGTCACCGATATTGGTCTTACACTAGAGTGGCCTTTGGTCTCTGTGGTGGGCCTCTCTGCTCCAAGGCTGGCAACTGTGCTACTGGTTGTGGACCAGGAACTGAGCTAAGACCCCTAAACACAGTCCTCCCTCCTCCTGTTGCAGGGAGGGCTGTGGCTGAGCTGGGTCCAAGCTGAGTTGGGGACCCAGAGAGGGTAGGCGCCCTATCGCCTGGCCGGTCTGCTCCCCCCGCATGAAATGGGATGAAGTGGTGCTTTGAGTTGCATATGGTGATGCCCCTCCTGCAACAGGGAGTCTGTTACCTGCCAGGGCAGGAGGGGATCAGACCTCTGCCCCCAGCCAGCCTTTGCCACATCCCAAGTCCTCATGCAGCTCTCATCATTTAGCATCCCGGTCTCTTATGTTCCAGTCTATCTCCTGCCCCTAGTGCATCAGTGCAACTGATTGTCTCGTCCTTTCCATACTCTCTGTCTCATCTCTTCTCGCTCACTAAAGTGCAAACAAATCACAGGGAGTCTTCCAACCTTGGCAGCACGTGGCCGGGTCTCTGGATTGCAGGTGGCCCCAAAAGTAGGAACCGGGCAGCAGCAATCACCTGCACGGACCCTGAGCCTGACCCGCAGTGCCGAGAAGAGATGCATAAAATGCATGACGCTTTCATTGTGAGCTTCCAGCCCGCTTGCACCCACTTTCTCTCTCCCACGCACCTCTCCCCATCCCCACCCTCTGTAAACTTCCATGACTTTCCCTTCTCTGCATCTGCTTGGCTTCACTGGCTCCCTCCCAGGATAGTATCTTCCCACTACCTGCCAGGGAGACAAAGCCTTGCTCTTCT